TCTACATTGTATCTTTTAATGAAAATTATGATTACTTTAATTAAGGATTAGATACAATGCATTTTGGTTATTAATGTATAAACAGCTACAATATATAATTCAAGAAGCTTCAGAGAAGAAATTCCTTAATGTTAAAGGAATTCATAGCATTTACCAGATAAAAACATGTTTCAACTGTAAGATTAAAAGCAAATTAAATGAAAATCTGACCAAATAAAGCTCAAAATAAACCCTTCTTTTATCTTAAAAGTTTCCCCTTTTGTACCCAACGCTTCCTCTTTTGAACTGAATATTCCTTTGCCCAGGGTTTCTTCAACTAGTAATAAGATAAATTCCATTTTGCCTCTCTAAGCTATTGGATCATAGTATCATGACCATGACCACACTATACAACTGCCAGTATTACTAGTGTACTAATTCTATGTAATTATTGGATCGATCAGTTCTGTCGAGACCTGTTTGTACTGAGATCACGTGGTTATACTGTAAACACGGGTGAGCCATATGTAGGATAGATTGAGTTGTGTATTGGTAAGCTGGCTCAGTCATGTGGTTCCTTCGAATATCAATACATACTTTGCGTTATATTTCCTGGTGTAGGGGTTCGACCCCCGCACTGACCCACAGACGCAATCCGGTTACTGGTTGTTTTTTTTTACTTTTATTTGTCATAATTGACTTATGAACTGGTCGGATGACATTAATACATGTGTTACTTTTAGCTTTTTTTCATTATATTTCATATGAATAAAACGCAATACACTAACAAAATACGAATATATTTCTATATTATCTTGTAGATTAAAATCCTGTATTTCGTTTAAAACGTTATGATGTAATATAACCTATTCCATATTCATTTACATAGATGATGTGTTGTGTTCATACTGACTATTTTAAAGGCATTTAAAAGGTAAAAACAAACTACTGCCAAAAACATACATCATATGTAAGAGGAAATCGTCTGTTATTGTGTGTTTAACAGTACATTTTGGTGTAAATATTTCTTCACTCAAACACATTTCTACATCGGTAGTTTGTTTACCGTACTGTTCTCAACGACCATGAAATAATCTCAAGGTTTCATCTTAATTTTAATTGTTGATTAATTCAATATTTTAAAGGGAGTGAGTTCCGTCAGCCTACGCTAATTATAATTTATTCTTATTCAAATTTTAACTAAGGCTAAGATTCGTTCATGATCCTAGAGTCGTAAGTTGATGTATGCTCTGTTGCAGATGTTATGAGGAAATGATTTAATTTCAAAATATCTTGATGTTTGTAAAAACATCTGGACATGTTTAACGCCTGTTCGTAGATTCTGTGCATTCTAAATACCGATTATGTCACGTGAATGTTAGAGCATCAATATTTCTAACAGAATAGTGATACAAATAGTTTGATGTTAGTTACCATGAGTTTCACGGATCACACAACAACATTTTTAGTGGCATTGAAACTTTTGATGCTTTTAGCATTCTATCATCGTGACCATTGGGCAAATATTTTGCCAATGACAAAAAAAATTGAATTCAATGGAGTCATACCTGTACAATTAGATTTTATATTGAAAAGTGTGTTGATGCCGGTTATAATTCAAGAGAGACATTCTTACAAAAAACTATGAAATTCAAAGAAAACATTAAAAATAATGTTCAATTTCAACCAGTTTTTAACTATATTTGTTTTCTTTATGACCCCATCCTTCTGCCATCTAAGGTGAATAAAAAGGTGCCACTTTCATTCATACAAAACATATCAATCTTGACATAGGGTCTCTCAAACAAAATCGAGTGAAACTCCGTTTTATAGTAAGAAAGATCAGACTTTTAATACTACCACCATCATCACTTCTACATTTATAATGCCAGGCTTTTGTCCGATTATATGGACTGGTCTGAAGATACAGACCTATATAAGCTTATTTCATTAACCAGGTGAACAACCTTGCGATTCCTCAGCAGTGTTGGACTTTGTATTTCTGTATTTCGTTAGCCAGGCGAACAACCTCACGATTCCTCAGCAGTGTTAAACTTTGTATTTCTGTATTTCGTTAGCCAGGTGAACAACCTAACGATTCCTCCTTGTATTTCTGTATTTCGTTGGTGCTTCAAATCTTGATATATTTTTTGTGTAAGATCACAAAAATATTTCATAACTAATTTACATACATGTAGATAAGTTTTATTCAAATGGATTTAAAAGAAATAGCAATCAAAAATATTTTGTAAACAACTATCAAAAAAATAATCATAATTATGCGAAAAGAGATCGTCTTTTGTTAGTGTGATCAACAGCTGAATACTCAGAGTTTACAAAATGAAACAAAAAAGTGTGTATGTCATGTCCTAGATATTTGGATTTTATATGTTAAACGATAGAGTTTTACAATGGTATTTCATCTTTGGTCGTATGCTAGATGCTTCTTTCCAATCGGTCAAAAATGTATATCTACATTACTCAAAAACTTCACAGCCGTCAAAGTAATTTCCCTTTCCGTGTAAAGATTGGAATTGGTCCTTGATGATTGTTCTGTAGCTGTTTTTGTTCTTGTTCGACAGAGTGTATTGGACCTGATAACATTGTAGGCACCCTATACTCGCCGTAAGGCATTGTAAATACCGTTTAAACTGCTGCTGTCGCCAGTAAAAGCTGATAGACTTTTCCCCATTAAAAACCTTTTGAAGCCAAGTTTCAAAGATTCTGTGTACTCAAAATACATGACCAGTCTTAGGGTATTTCATCTGTGCTCACCTTAGTGTCGAATATTTGTTGTAAGCTCATGTTTCCCTTTAAAAATAGAAGTGTGAAACCAGTTAGGTTATCAAATACTGTTTAAATGACAACGTGAAACATGGCCATTGGTGAAATAGCTTGTTACAAATGGTGTTTGGCTGTAAAGTGACATCTGAACACCAGATTGTATGCACACTCTCACCCATGAATATCCCAAATAATGAAAATATTACGTGGTCATGTACTTCTTAAGCATCCGTGTAGAGACTATAAAAAGGAAAACGAGAGGAAAATGCTTCCAATTCCCAGAATGATGACACGTATTTCCGTTGGATATCACAACAAAGCCAGATACACGCAAAGCATCATGATTTTACCTTTACACTGTTTAAAACAGGTTCTCATTCTGGTGATCTGGCTTGACCCGTGGACAAAGACATGCTAGCTTAATGCTTTCTTGTGATAGGTCCAATGGCAATACATGTAGATTTCATTATTTTAAGAAATGTGTAGCGTTTTTTCAAAGTTTTCTTGATAATTGTAACTACATGGATAGTTCAGGAGTACATGTATGCAGTTATTTTTCTATATCATTTGTAATTTCGAAGGATGTGCTAAAAAGTCCTGTGATAATTAAATGTCTCTTCTGCCAAAAACAATTTTATTTTAAGCAAACAGTTTCTTCAATGGTCATAATTTCATTGTTTTGGATACACGATTACCAAAATGATTCCATCCTTTTTATTTTGAGGAAAGTTGTTTACATACAACAATTGATCCCTGTGACCTTGAACATATGTGAAGGTCATTCATTTGAACAAACTTGGTAGCCCTTCATTCTAACATCCTTCTAGCCAAATATCATGACCCTGGACCTTTTGGTTAATCAGAAGAAGTCGTTTAAAGATTTCAACATATTTGACCCATGTGACCTTGAATATGAGCAAAACGTCATTCATTTGAAAAACTTGGTATCCCTTCATCCCAATATCCTTCTGGCCAAATATCATCACACTGGACCTTTTGGATATTCAGGAGAATATTACACAAGGCTAAGGGGAAGTAACTCATGAAGGAAACATCTCATACACCTCATACACACTTACACACACATACAAGTACATGTACAAATACATTAATTTCAGCATATAGATACACTATCATAGACAGATATTGGCAGTCTTAGACCAAAAGTTTAAACATACTTGACCCATGTGACCTTGAAAATGGGCAAAGGTCATTCATTTGGACAAACTTGGTAGCCCTTCATCCCAGAATGCTACTAGCCAAATATCATTGCCCTACGCCTCTTGGTTGAAGTTGACACCGACCGGACGACGGACGGACGACCGTCCTTTGGGTCAGGTGAGCTAAAGAGTAGTGCTTAACTTATCAAATTAAGTTACAAATGACCACTGTCTTAACTCCATTATGTTCCAAATGGCTCTAGTAATTGTGACAAATTTGGATTTTGGATACAATTCAAGGGAGACAAATCTTACAAAAACAAATTGAGAAAATCTTACTGGGTGTCTCGAGATATAAACTGTTACGATTGATAAAGCTCAAAAGAAGATACTAATCAACACAAATCAAAAATTGAGAAAATTATACTTGGTGTCTCAAAATCTATAAAGACAAATACCTTGGTTACTTAGAGATGGAGAGTTACGATTGATTAAGCTCCAAAGTAGAAATTCATCAAAGTGTACAATTAACAAACCTTGATTGGACCACTTCATTGTCTTCCTCATTAGAATCAACTGTTTTTGTTAAAAAATGTTTATACAATTATTGAATCACCATATTTGATTATTTACTGAATTGGAAAAATTGAATTGAATTTCAATTACAAAAATCAATTCCATATTTTTATCAAAACAGGTTCAACAATACCGTAGTCAATCGTCTCCTTTTGGAAGTATGAAAATGGCTCTACCTACAAAATAGATCAGTCAATACTTTAATGTTTGCTTTAAGTTATTCATTACCTTTTATCTTTTATGGCACTGAATGTAAATAACAAGATACAATATGCAGTGCTACCAAAACTATTTAACAACAAGTGGGCTTGTTAAATGAAAACCGTTCAATAACTTCACTACACAAAACATGCCCTATGAATGACAAAATGTGCATTTCAACAAATAAAACAGCTATCCAGACTAGACTAGTTCAGTGTAGAGAATAATAGTTTCTAAATGAACCTGAACACATTAACAAGAACAGAAAATACATGTACAAACAAACAAAAAGTTAGAATGAATGGTCAAAATATTTATTTAGAAAGATCACACAATAAGTTCCATATTCAACATAACAATGAAATTATAATTGTCGAGACTAAGTCAAGACATGTAAATTTTTTCAATTTTAGTTCTATATTTTTTTCAATTGGTCGTATTTGCTTATATGAGCATTATTTTCATTGACAAAAAAAATAATCTTGAAAATTAAACTTGTATTGATCATCATGAGTCATAGAAAATTAAACTTGTACTGATCATCATGAGTCATAGAAAATTAAACTTGTATTGATCATCATGAGTGATAGTATAATATACATTGATGATTTGGTTCTGGTGAAACATTTGCATTAGAAAGTAGAAACTCACAATTACTGGAGGACATATAGGTCTGCTAACAGAGCTATATTTTGTTTCTATATTTTGAGAACAGCTCTAGCTTAATACATCTGTTTCACCTTTCGAACACTCAAATGTTTGCTTACTGACAACATATGTGCGAGAAAAAGATGTTTTTTCTACGAAACCAAAATCAAGAAAAACAGACATCACCTGTCAAATCTTCAAATGGATCTTCTCTTTTATGACAATAATACTCTGTACTGGACGCTGGCTCTGACGACGCCTGGCCCTTTGCCTCCTTATGCCATTTTTATTGTAAACATCGCGTTCCTGACTCTGAGTTCGTACTTAAGTCTGCTGTTGAGCAGCCTCAGCTTTTTAGCCTCAACTTCAGTCACTGAGAAGAGATGTTTTGTTTGTCATAACAAATTTTTGACACTGAGCTTTAGTTCTTGAGTTATGACCCAAAGCTCAGCTTTAGGGGGCCTCAAGGAAGTATGTGATATCAAGGCATGTTTATAAAGCTTTAAACACCCTATTGCCATGGCAGAGAAAGTCTGGACTGTGACCTAAGAGAGTGGGAGAGTGGGATATACATTCATACTGCAAACCTTGTATGTCCACGGAAAATGTAAAAATTTCTAACGGTGTAATAGAAATTAATATCAGATACATTTAATTTGATAATCAAAGCGTTTTTCTCTAACGAAGACAGTAAAAAAGCATGTTCCAGGACAACTATTTACAGACATAGAATGACTGCTATACCTCCCACAATCTAGTATACTTGAGAAAACATTTTGTACATTATAACCGTGTAAACGTAACTGTATAGCCATAGGGAGATTCCTGCTACAACTGATATCAGTGTCATCCTATATTGACATCAATGACATTATGTAAATAATAGTATAAGTACAATGTAATTTCAATATAATTTAACGAACTATATTCCTTTCATATGTCATCTGTCTTCTAGCTGGCATGTTGAGAAGAGATCTTCTAAAACCTGTCTATCCAAATTTTTACCTGAAATAGAACAAAACAAAAAATCTGTTTGAAAATTTGTAAAAATGTACAATAAATACTTCATTACAAAGATTCTCGTAGCTTTTTTTTTTTTTTTTTTTTTTTGAACGTCCTATCTACAGCTAAGGTCATTTAATGACGTGCCTCTCTGTTTATTGTGCCTGCCTGCATGTGTGTCGGACACATGGTGTGTTGGGGCATTTACCTCCTTGCAAATAATGAGGATATGATGCTGTCTTTTGAGAGCTTATCTTAAAAAAAATATGCCGAAGACACACAGCATTCCGACCAGCCACATTATACTGACAAGTCAACTAGTTGTTGCCATCAACCGAAATGCTTAATGTTAAGCAGTTAATAACAACTAACGTTTTTAAAGACTTTGGTATGTCCCAGCTAGGAGACGGAATCCAGTCTCTCCGAATGTTCAACACCAAAGCTAAAAGTGGCAAGAAACAGAAAGGGTTGGTAGGAGGTAGAAAGTGGAAAAAATGATCAAAAAAGATCAGTTTTGGTTGCTTCTGTGTCTCAAAATAGAGGGCACAAAATCATATCCCCCGTTCTGCAAGGGGGTTCCACACATGTTGCTTACAGCACTGTTTAAGGAGATAACTCTCCAGACAGCATTATAAGAGAACTGTATCCCAGGAAAACACACACAATAGATACATATATCAAATGACTGTAAAGCTTGGGCACCTTGTATGGTGGCAATCGGCAAACCTTTAGAATATATGCCCCCTTCTTTGTTTCTGACATAAAAATTGGTCATTGGTTATATCATGACTAAGTTATCGATTCATATTTTCCATGAACTCTCCTAATACAGTCACAGCAAATTAAATCTGTTGCCTGTTTAATATTTGTATACGTTAACAGGCGGCGCAGCGAGGCATTTTGCTAACTCTGTCTTACAGTTACTAGCCGATTGAATCAACATGTCTTGACGAGGAAAGGGAGGGAAAGTAAATGGAAAGGCAAAGAGCCAATCATCCCGTGCCGGGCTTCAGGTCCCAGTCGGGCGTTTCCAAATTGTGCCTCTACAATGGAGTCTGGTTGAAAAGTATAGCACCTCTTGATAAGTATAGTATCCCCTAGTCAAAGGGAGGCAGAAAATTATGTTTTGTATGCAAACAGATAAAGGGCAATTATCCAATCATTTTCCTAGAAATAATCATATGATTTACTAAATTACATCATAAAACAAGATCAAGTTACCTTACCTATAAAGACTAGTCTGTTGACCCTTTTCTCACCCTGTTGCCATGGTGACGCCCGGAATGTGTCATACAGTTCTCGCACAGCCTGGACCACAAGTTTGTTAGGGTCACCTGGTGTTGACAGCAGACCCTTAAAGCACAATTGTGAAAAACATTCCTGAACCTGTTTAAAATAAACAACATAAGACCATGCAAATACAAATGTTGACACCCCTGAATCTCTAATGTATACAATATTCAACACTAAAAAATACAAAAGTGGACATAAGTTATAACCCTACCGTCCATCTGTATTACCTGTGTATGTATGATGAAGGATCCCTCTCCCACTGCACTGTGCTTTATCGTATAAACAGTGACTTAATTTCGTTTAAATATAACTGTAGCAAAGTTTGGCCAGACCAATTCCACTGACCAAGAAGCTTAGTCAGTTTGAGTAATAGTTTAATGATCTGAAATCCAGGGTTAAAATGCCGGTCTAGCCATGATGAATTTTTCAGAACACTGCTGTTGATTAAATTTTATTATTTTTTTCTTAATTTTTGTTCATAAAAGAACTGCAAGGTATGATTTTCTTTTCAGAAATGCCTAATCAAAGCTATATATAGTCGTGCTGGAAAATAAAAATTTTAATGAATAGTTACATTTTTTGACAGTGGTACGAAGACCCTTTAAATCAATGTCATGAGAATTACATTTAACAAAGCAGAATTTTTCCTGTCAAAGTAAATATTGCACATAATATCAGTGACTTGGTTAAAAAAAATCCTTGTTTTTCTTATAACAGTTACGAACAACAAAGATATGCCTTACATCTTGTTCATTACAAAATGTAAAATGGGTTTATAAAAGAACATTTTCCACTCTCGGGTTATGATAGTATCATAATGCATAGTTGCCAATGGCGATTATTTTGCTTTGATACTTGATATATTCCAATAAATGAATGCAAGCAATCAAAACGTTTGGATTTGAAACAACACAAAAATTGTGAATCTTAATACAGAAATTAAGTATTAACTGAGGTATCAACTCCAACAACCCAGGTGGTGTATACAATGGTCTGGGATGGATGTTGCGGTATCTGTGATGTAGCATTCAAGTGAGGTGGCACTATTAAAGATGCCGATGGAAGCACAGTCCCACCACAAAACAGAACTAAATACATTTCCAGCATACACACAGGCATACACACATAGTGAGATATTAGCCAGGTGGCATAGGACTAGTAGTTAGCGCCTGATAAGGCAGCTCCTGCGAATTCCTCAAAATTGTATTGATTGATGTATATGCTTATTGTACTAATTGTTTATCTTTGTATACATACTATAAAGCACTTTAGAGTGGCTTATGTTAGCTAGATAGGGCACTATATCAACTGTTGTATATTATACATTATCATACCTTAAGGCGAAATATTTCAATGACCTGACCGTTGGAGTCTTTGACCATTTTCTCCCACAGCAGATCCTGTAAAGATTTCTCCAGAAGCTTGGGATCAACATGTCCCTGGAACTCATAGGTCAAGGTCGTCACACTCTAAAAATAGGAAATCAGCACAAAATTCTATTAATTCATGTGTTGTCATTAGAACAGACATTGTGCATGCATGTTATTTTTCATACCTCAGATAGATGGAATGAAAAAAGTTATTAGCACATCACGGCTGTGACCACAAAAGCAATGATTGCCATGAGCTCAAGATACTTTTGACAGCATATGAACTCTCATTACCAGTGGTTGGAGTGTTAGTTGTACTCCTGGACCCTATTCATTGTAAGCCCTTTCTCATACTCAACCCCTAGTCTGTACTCCAGTTCAATCCTCAATTCAGATAAGAATATTACTTTTAAATTACTATTTATTTGTAGTGTTTACTTCTTAATCCAGTCCAAAAAATCATCAAACAAGTTACAAGAAGGATAATTTAGAAACAAAATTGAGTTTTGAGTGTATAAAATTGATCCTTGGTGAGAGCTGTATTAATAAAATCCCTGACGAGAACTATTGTGACTGTATCAATAAGGTTTTTAAATAAAAAACATCACATGATTGGCTTTCCTTTAAAATTGATTATCTTTTAATGTTGCGTTACATTACGTTAAAGTGTGTATGTGAAATATAACAGAATGCAAACAAAATGCTATTAAAGAGATACCATCAGGCAATTCCCACTGCTGAGCACTTTATATACCTGTTTAAATACATTTTTCAGTTATTCTTCACTTATTCATTGATCTAACCAAAGTACAAAGTACTCCGTTATTAATGTTCCATTTAGTATCACGTTGGAAACAATTACCTGATCAATGACATGCTTGTTCTCCTGGGAAAATCCCCTTTGTGTAAAAACTTCTTCCATGCTGAGGGACACAAAAGAAGACAAATGTCATCAACATACATTAACAATTAACAATATAAAATTGTATTGTTATTTCACTGAACAAGTATTTGATTTGTTTATTTGGTTGTGTACCTTGTAGGTCGATCTACTGTCGATGATCTCACACAATTGTGTCTTGTTTGCAGACAATTTGTACAACCTCACCCATATTCATTGTTGTCTACATCATAAAACAAATTGCCATGTTTTATAGCCAGGTTTCCAGTTTGTTGAAACAACTAATGGTTATTGAGTGAAAGTCAGTGGAGAGTGTAAATATTTCATCATCCGCTATTGAATACAGAACCAAAATAATCCTCAAAACTGACAAAATGTGGTTAAAATGCTTTACTTTCAATCTAACTTATAAACGTTATGTTTATACAAGTTCACATAGTGTTAGTATACACACCTGTTTTTACTTTTTCCATCGTAAGAATTCAAATCCAAAATTTGATCTAGGTTGACTCTAAAATGAAATGAACAAAAACATATATGTCTCCTCTTCAACAACTCCTGTTTATATAATGGTTTGACATGCATGAAAGTGAATTTTCCAATTTAAGGATTTGCCTTTCGCAATAAATGTGGACAGATCGATCATGAACTCTTGATTTGAGTAGCTGTGCAAACCATGAACAAAGGCCTAATTTGGTTGAAAGTCTGTAAGTTAGATAAAAGAGAGAATATACCAGGTAACCAGGTACATGCTTATGAAATCTCCTAAATGTAGATATGCCTGGCCTTTGGGCTTCATCTTGATAAAACTTGTAAATATACATAATAAATGAGTTCTTAACACCTTCTTACTCATTTTAGTCAAATAATTATAAGTAGTTAACTCTCTGCCTCAGGTTAGTAGGAATGACCCCTCATGACTCCAGCTCTTTTAATCCCTCCTGACTCATTTGAGTTATTTTAATTCTTCCTGATTGGAATTAATTCAAGACTCAACATGTGACTTAAGTGAGTTGGATTCTTGACTCAAGACAAGTTACACAACACCCCAACTCAAATGAGTCTAATATCCCTCCTGGTTCCAATCAGATGACTCAGATGAGTCATTGACTTTTACAAACTAAATCCTTTTTGTTTTCCTTAGACATGGATATTACCTAGATCAAATGAATTAAGTTTGGGTAAGAAACTTTGACTATATTAATTAACTAAATGATGTTTGGTACATAGTACATACTCTTTTAAATTGTTTTTCCTTTCTCATCCTATCTTTAAAACAGCTTCCTACCTTGACATAGAAGTCTCAATCATCTTTGCAAAGCCATTTATGTTTCTGAAATTAAAATGATTCACCAGTGTAATCGGATTCATTCAGAAACAATCTGCATTCAATCATCATCACTCGCTGTTAACACTTCAGTTCAAAGTTCAATGTAAAGTTTTGCCTTTTTTCATCCAATTGCATGTGCTTATCTAGTCACTTAAAACAGGAAGAGGTATACTTGTCATTAAATTGAATATAAAATAAGAGTTTATCTCCAGAACCATAGAGACATAGATAAATATATAGAAAGCCAGCCAGATGAAACTTAACCAGTAAATAAATATTTACACAAGAAGCATCATAAATAAACTAAAACCAAATCAACTGAATCATTCACAGATCAAATTATATTGCTGTGAATTAACATAAGGTTGAAGTATGTAAAAGGACAGGAAAAACACAATGGCCAGATCAGAATTCAAACCTGGCACCTCTAAACTATGGGAAGATGCCCTAACCTATTGAGCTACCTGGTTGCCAGTAATCGACCCTGTCAGTTCTGCTACATTCCACCTCCGTCAACAAAGTGTTCTACTCCAAAGACATACAAGACCCTATACATTGTACCATCTTCGATAGGTGAATAGTTGGGCGCCAAATGTAACTGGAAAGGAAAATGCAACAGCCAGACTGGGATTCGAAAAAGGGACCTCTGAAATCCAGACAGAAACTCTATTCAATTGAGCTACCTATAGTCACTGGTAATCAACCTAGTCCAGTCCTGCTACAAAGTGTTAGACGTGACATATAATATATTCTAAAAATTTTAAATTTGATCTGATGAACAAACCTGATCTGTTGCTTCAGAGAGTCCAACTCTATATCAGAGATGAGGTCCGTTTTATTTAATACAATAATATCAGCCAAGGCAATCTGTCTGCAAAAGAAAGTTGATGAGTGTCAAAAGTAAAAGGGTTGCAGGCTTAATGATTCATGAAGTCATACCCAAAATGCTTTATTTCTCCAATACATCACAGGTGCGTTACAGTTTTTGTTCGGAAAAAGATAAAATTGTCTTGTACGCAGCGTGACAAAGATCTTGTTGTAAATTTTGTCGCATATTTCATTCATCCTTGATGCAGGCCCAGTGCACTGCACCATAATAACTTCAATTTACCATGGAAAGTATTAGAGAAACATAATCTACATGTATCATTCCTGTATGATGCAGACAGAGAAATTCTGTGTCAGATTTAAATACTCCTCAGAAGCCCTGTTCTAAACTAAACAAGAGATCCCAGAGGGATCTTGGCGCCCACCATTATACCATCTTCATTAGTTCTTTGTCAGTTCGATCTTTTCTCTTTTTTTTCTCTAATCTGTTTGATCGAGTCATGTTAACAGTAAATTCACCTTGAGGTAACTTTTGATCTAAACCTAATACTGCTGTGTATAAAAGACAACCTTCAAAGTGAATTTGTCATTTCATATATTTACTTAAAAGTACAGTACTTAATGTGAAAGAAATAGAACTGATCATTGTAATATGAGAAAGATCCGGGGGGGGGGGGGGGGGTTTTCTTCCTTCGGGCATTTGTTTCTATGATCAGTCTCAAAATATAACATGCACAACGAGGGATCACGGGGAACCTACAGAAATAGCACTAAATGTCAAAAATCGAAGATGGCCGCCGGGAAATAGCACTAACAAACCTTAACTGTCAAAATCAAAGATTTGTTTATCCGATCAGTCTCATAAGAAGACATGCACAACTACATACCAAGGGGAACCTACATGTTAAATTTGAGAAAGATCTTTCCAGTACTTATAGAGAAATAGCGATAACAAACCTTCACTGTAAAAATCCAAGATGGCTGCCTGTCGGCCATTTTGTTTAATTGATTTCTCAAAATTAAACATGCACAACAACAGATCAAGGGAGTCTACATAACAAATTTGGGAAAGATCCCTAAAGTACTTCCTGAGAAATAGCGATAACAAACCTTTAACGTCACAACCCAAGATGGTGGCCTGTCAGCCATTTTGTTTATTCGATCAGTCTCAAACTTAAACATGCACAACTGCATACCAAGGGGAACCTACATATAAAATTTGAGAAAGGTCTCTATAATACTTCCTGAGAAATATCGATAACAAGAATTGTTTAAGGTCGGACGATTGACGACTGACCGCGAACCACGGACGCAGGGCGATTTGAATAGCCCAGCCCACCATCATCTGATGGTGGCCTAAAAAGCTTACTCTACATTTGAGCTATCTCTGTCTTTATCACAAGGGGTGATAGATTCTGTCAATCCATATATGGACTATTCTGCGGTATATTATCAGGCCCTGTATGTTACACGACACAGGCCTAGGGGGGATGGGGGGCAAGATTTATCGGACGATTAACAAATGGTACTGGTAACCGTAGTGATTTTTAACAATTTCAAATAATTTATCACTTTGTCATAAAAACACAAAAGCATGCATTTCCCACAAATTTTACCGGACATCATTTTTTGGTAAACACCATCCATTGTTCTTTCCCTATCAGTGCTTAATTCCTTTACTAATGATTAAAACGAACTTAGTTCTATAAAATGTTGTTGATCAGACCTATATTACACATCAAGTTTAGTAAAATATAAAACTATCATCTGATGTTCTATACCTTGTTGCTTCATTCACAGATCCATCTTCCTTTTTCTCCTTCAGATGCTGTAAATGCCACAAGTGGAATGTTAAATCAACTGGTATATTTGCAACTACATGTAACACCACATTGGCATAAAATTAAAACTCTTATAATGAAATTGTAAAAAGTGCAATTTTCCCAACTATACTTTTGTTGTCAATCTTTTCAATTTTCAATAACCAGCACACTGATTCTATTTCTTTAAAATCTGAATATGAATATTTTGAGAATTTAAACCTCCTATTACATACCTGACTGCAGTATTTGCCATCAACCATAGTGATAATACCTGAAAATGGAGAGAAAAAGTAACTAACAACAAGACACCCAAATGCCTTAAAAACCTCATCTCGTATTTTTTTATCTGAAATATTTAAAATATGATACATGTATATACATTGTATAAGAATGATAAAGGTTTGGCAACAGGGGCATAACTCCCAAAGAAATATCTGGAACCATTTTTTTTTAAAACCTGGTTAACATTGATTTACCTGTGCTCAAGGAGTAGGATTTTGACAATTTAACTCTATTTTAATGGGCCCCACCCCTAAAATCCTCCATTTATACAATGTTGAGTCTCCTTGGCACAATGGTGCTCCAAACCAAAAACCAAACTAGAACTGTAAGCCAAAGGCTAACTTATACCCCCCCCCCCCAAATTTGCCCATTAGTTTTAGGGAGGTTGATTGGGCAAGCAGTTTTCAACAAAGGGCAATGACTCCTTAAAGAAGGGTCAAACTGAAAAAAAATAACACCTGGATGCACAACATCCGGTGGTAGTTATGATCCTATCTGAAAACTTTCATTGATATTGGCCCAGTAGTTTTCGAGAGGTTGTCCGGGCAAGCATTTTTCAACAAAGGGACATAACTCTGTAAAGAAGGGTCAGAATGAAAAAATAATACATGGATGCACAACTTCAGGTGGTATACCATATCTTGAAACTTTCATTGAAATTGATCCATAACTTTAGAAGGATTTGTCCGGACAAAAAGTTATAGGATTTTTTCAACAAGGCGCCATAACTTCGTTAAAAACGGTCAAAATGAAAAAAGGAGGTGTCCGGACAAACTTTATCTACGGACAAGACAAACGGACGGACAAGCTGATTCATGTCCTGCTGGGTGTCTTAGGCAGTATGTTTCAGTGAGGTAGCACTATAAAGTCGGCATCAGTTCCGCGCTATCACAGTGAGACAAACACGAACATACCGCAGCCTCCCAAGACACAGCCATACACTACATGCAAGCATCTTGCACACAGGGGAGGCCCTCCTTAAATGACCATAGCTGTTGATAGGATGTTAACAATACTTAACCAAACCAATCACAGAACAATGAGTAGCATTTGTTGGCATTTCTACCAACTTGCAATAGATACAGGAGTGCTGGATTAATATGGTAAACATAACTAATGCTTTCTACAAGTGACAGGGTGATGTTCTTAAAGAAATAAAATTGAGGACAAACACAATTTGCAGCAGAATATTTATTTAATACGCTAGATATATGTTGTATATGGAATTTGTTAGGGTGTGAAAGAAGTATGTTTTGTGTTCTTGTCCTGTACTCTATTTGCAAGTATTTTATTTTCCCATTGCCCTTCCTATTTATTTATTTATTGTTTGACTGATGGATGTTGAATGAGGACCCTCCTGTGTGAGGACACCATATTGTTCAAGGGCTCCCCAACCCTGGTATCCACTATCAAAATATTTGTATATGTATATATATATATCTTCTGCGAAGCAGTATATGTATATATATATACATATTTATGAAAAAAATGTCTGGAGGAATAAAAATATTTGTAAATCCATGCACATACTCTGCCAATCATCGCTCCTCAGAGACTGGGCTCTACTCAAGCGTATAGTAGGCCAATCATGGCTCCTTATATAGACTGGGCTCAATCCATACATGTATGTATCGTCTGCCAGACATGGCTCCTTAAAGACAGGTTTCTTTTTATATAATCTGTCAAACATGGCTCCTTAAAGACCAGGCTTTATCCATCAGTTTAGTCTGCCAAACATGGCTCCTAAGAGACTAGGCTCTATCCATGTGTATATAGTCTACCAATCATGGTCCCTTCGAGACTGGGCTCCATCTGTGTGTGTAAAGTCTACCAATCATAGTCCCTTAGAGACTGGGCTCCATTCGTGTGTATATAGTCTACCAATCAGACAGAGTCCCTTAGAGACTGGGCTCCATCCATGTGTTTATAGTCTACCAATCATGGTCTCTTAGACACTGGGCTCTATCCATGTGTATAGTCTGCCAATCATAGTCCCTTAGAGACTGGACTCTATCCATGTGTTTATAGTCTACCAATCATGGTCCCTTAGAGACTGTGCTCTATTCGTGTGTATATAGTCTACCAATCATAGTCCCTTAGAGACTGGACTCTATCCATGTGTATATAGTCTACCAATCATGGTCCCTCAGAGACTGGACTCTATCCATGTGTTTATAGTCTACCAATCATGGTCCCTTAGAGACTGGACTATATCCATGTGTTTATAGTCTACCAATCATAGTCCCTTAAAGACTGGACTCTATCCATGTGTATATAGTCTACCAATCATGGTCCCTTAGAGACTGGACTCTATCCATGTGTTTATAGTCTACCAATCATGGTCCCTTAGAGACTGGACTCTATCCATGTGTTTATAGTCTACCAATCACGGTCCCTTAGAGACTGGACTCTATCCATGCAATTAATCGTCCAATCATGGCTTTTCAGAGGCTGCGCTTTACCATGTGTACAGCCTGCCAAACATTGCTCCTCAGAGACTTGGCTCTTTCCATGTGTATTGTATTCAAAGCATGGCCCCTTAGAGTCTGGGTTCTGTCCATGAGTACAGTCAGCCAAACATCGCTCCTCAGAGACTTGGCTCTATCCATGTAGATACATGCATGTAGTCTGCCAATCATGGTTCCTCAGATGGTCTCTGTCCATGTGTTAAATCTGCCAAACATTGCTCCTTCAAGACTTGGCTCTATCCATGAGTAAAGTCTGCCAAACATGGCTCCTTAGAGACTGAGCTCAACCATCCATATAGTTTGTAAAACATGGCTCCTTAGAAACTGGGTTGTCCATGCATATAGTCCGCCAGACATATCCCTAAAGACTGAGCTCTATCGAAAGGTATAGTCTGCCAAACATGTTTCTTAAGAGACTAGGACCATCCATGTGTAAAGTCTGCTACCTTAGAATCAATACATGTGTGATCATGTAAAACATTACTCCTCAGAGACTTGGCTCTATCCGCACATATAATATGCAAATCATTGCTCCTTAAAGACTGAGCTGTATCCAAATGTAAAATCTGCCAAACATGGCATCTTACAGACTGGGTTCTGTCTATAGGTACAGTCAGTCAAACATTGTACCTTGGAGACTTGGCTTTATCCATGCGTATGTTTTTCCGAAAATGGCTCCTTAGAGACTGGGTTCTTTCCATGTGCATATAGTTTGCCAAACATGGTACCTCAGACACTGGGTACTATCCATAGGTAACGTCTGCTAAACATGGCTCCTAATTAAACAGGGATGGAGATTAGGATTCATCCCTGCATATGATATGTAAATCATGTTTCCTAAGAAACTGGGCTCTATCATCATGTCATACCAACATGCGTTCACTAATGACATATTTCATCGCCAAATAGCCATGTAACTGATTTTACACGTCAGATAGGTATATATTATAAGGAAAGGTATATTAAACTCTAGCCTCATGATCCCCATTACCAGTAATAGGATGCCCCAATATAAGCGGTTGTATGGACACCATGCAGTTGAAAATTCAGTGCTTCGCATGAAAACCAATTAAAGGTTTAATGAATGTTACAGCAAATGTGAATCATTTCAACATATCCATCAATTAAAAACATAAATGGGGAGGATAGTCTCCTGTTAGCTCAGATGAATAAGTCGATCAGAATCAATATCACTGACTTATTACACAAGGGAGACGGCAATGCAAATGATTAACTATTGTCGGTCAAAGATAATTAAACTGGTATTTATTATTTACTTTGAAGCATATTTCCTGACAATATCTTACATTTGAACCAAATGATTGGATTAGGCAATCACATGTCCAAAGGATGGGTCTATACGTATGCTGTTTTCAGACATAACTAATAGATGGACAAATCTATCCGTGCCTGCTTCATGTTATTTATACCCAGCAAGTCATTCATATTGAATGAACTCATAGATTGACAATTGTTTGCAATAACAGATCTCTTGACAACTTAAAACGGTGACAGCATACACAACAGGTGTTAACTACGAAACATTTAGGAAACGTTTCAGTGCTCTAAAGAACAGACCAAGTGATACATTGATGCACATATAGGCTGTTATTCTGTAGGAAGTGTATTTATGTACAGTGAACAACAGTACATGTATGTCGAGCCATGTTCCGAGTACCTTACATCATGTTCATGGTAGTCTGTCTACATATCATCAGTGCTAATACGATGGACGACGTGAAAACATTGCTGGCGGACCTGATGGGGAACTATTCGGTGGAGGTTCGACCTGTAAAGGACCAGAGTATGCCGGTATATGTTGATGTCGGCATGAGTCTCATATCCATCAATGACTTCAATGAAGTGACCGGAGTTATTTCAGTTGTTGCTGTTATATCTATTTCTTGGAGGGATGAAAGTCTGGTGTGGAATCCCTGGAGTTATAACAATACAACACTTCTAACATTTTCACAAAAACAAATATGGGTTCCAAAAATGTACTTGGTGAACCCAGCAAGTGAGTTTAAACCCATCAGCAATAAGCATTTTAAAGTCACTGTATTAGCCAATGGTTTTGTTAATTGGGCCCCTGGAGGGGTACTTCAAGCCACTTGTACACCTGATGTTTCTAAATTCCCATTTGATGTACAGACATGCACAATTTTACTAAATTCATATGGATACGGTACAACACAGGTTTCTCTGACCACGCAGGTACCAACGATTAATTTCAGTTTCTTCTCAACTAACACTGCCTGGGACATTATATCAACTAAAACCATCGTAAACTCGATCATAGTCACCGATATTGCTTCATTTTCCATCACCATGAGCAGGAGACCGTTGAACTTCATAGTCAGTGTTGTGATCCCAATCATCATGTTGTCTCTGGTCAATCCGTTTGTATTCATTCTACCGTTCAATTACGGTGAACGAACGTCGTACAGTATCACAGTTCTTCTAGCGTTCACGGTGTATATGACAGTGGTAAGTGACAGGATGCCGGCCTCATCCGATCCAA